AATTATTTAAAACGAAAAGAGAAAATCATCGACAATCTAAAAATATGAACTAAAACGCAAAATCATGTAAAAGCATAAACGTAAGAATAACTATATCCTACTGTTTCCAACAATAAAACTACACGATAACTTTTGTGTTCTTTGTCCTAATATTTTAATCATATCAGGTTTGCCTCTATATTTTCTTTCATACCAAACTATTTGCCATTCTTAATTTTAAATCAATAAGTAATTTATTTAAAAGTTTGGTTATTAAATTATACCTTTCTATTTTTATAGTTTACTACGGCAAATATTTCTACAATTAGTATCACCATTAGCCTAGAAAAAGTAATCACTGCTAGGAAAAATAGTAATTATTTAGTCATGTAATCCTATTACTTTCAGGATATACTTCTTAAAAATTTCTATTACTAATTTAATTTGAGAATGTATTATATTGTCCAAATCCATTTAGCAAAAAAGAGAGCATATATTAATATAAAAATATTAATATAAAATATAAATACAATATTAATATACCAAAATAGCCCTAAAATATTAAACGGAAGACCTCATAGGGAAAGGACATAACTGCAATTATCTATTTTTTGGACTACAATACCTTCTATGTTAATTTTAATATTTAAGACTTTAAAATTAATAAAATTTTATCTATTAAATTCTTATTAAAAAGATGTAGGGAGGTTTAATAAAATTAGTTTTATAAGAATCCTCTGTATTGGCAATACAATACCACTCCATAATGTCCAATACCAAGAAAATATAAAAGTAATATTATATGAACTGCATAAAGAGTTGAAATTGAGAAAAAATAAACATGATAATATATTTTTATATTATATTTGAACTGTTTTTCTAACCAAATAATATTTTTTTATTAATTTTTCGTGTAATATTAAAAATACTCAATTATTAAACAACAACTAAGAAAATATTTAAGAATATAAATGTGAGAGAGAGTGAGAGAAAAAAATGATTGGTAAGAGACAATACCAATAATGATTCTACAGACGTAAATATCTAAAAGTGAAAAGTCATATCAAATCTTTTACTCTTTGAAAATAAAATTTATGGTGGATAAAATTATAATTAAGATTAATTATTCAAAATAAGAGATGAACTAATATTAAGATTTGAATCAACATAGAATCATTTTTTTATGTTAAAATCAAATAATTAAATACTTTAATTAATTATTTAGCAGGAGAATCCAATTCAATTATTTTTAAAATTTATCATATCAGTAAAATTCTTATTCAAGTTAAAAAAAATCTTAGAGTATATAAATTTATTCCATAGAAAAGAGCGTTAGAACACAAAGTAAAAAGGTTAATATATTATTAAGAATCAAAATGATATACAAGTGTCTGAGGAAGCTCAATCAAAGCTAAATCCTAAACAAGAACAAGCTTTCAAGACTATATGATAAAGAGTCGACTATGCTATAATGAGATTATTCTTTGTAGATGTCTCCGATGGAATTGAAATAATATTTCTATGTCATGCATTATTTGCAAATATTATATCAAAGAGGTATGGCACTGTTAGCAATAATAACAAGTGGTGTACCAATAATGATTTTATTATGAGGCCACCCACTTTAGACTTGATATAACTCTTCAAATAACTTAAATAACCACCACAAATATAACAAAGTAGGGTAATAGTACTAAATTTATGAGGAAGGCAAAATTAATAATATGGGATGAAGCACTTATGTCTCAGTATTAAACGATCGAAATAATTGCCCGAAGTTCTAGAGATATATTTGATATTAATGAACCGTTTGGTGAAAATTAATGGCTTGAGAAATAATTTATGTCAAGTACTACCAGTAGTTCCAAAATCGACAAAATGGAGACTATAAAAACTAGTTTTCCAAAGTTATACTTCTTGTCTCAAATGAAAACGATTCAACTGATAATAAATATAAAAGTAAGAACAGATCCAGTATTCAGTGTCTTCTTGCTTCGTGTCAGAAACAAAGAAGAGTATCTAATAAAAGATGATTTGGTTCTTCCTGAATACTTGATTATCAATCCCAATAGTAATAATAGTGCATTTAATTAGAGAAATATTTATATCATTAGATTAAAACGCAATTTGTGCAAATCGCATGATAGAATTTAAAAAGATATCTTAGCTAGCAAAAATGAATATGTTGATCAACTAAATAAAAGGTTAATTGCATGATTTTATATTAAAATAATTTTTTATTTTTGATTCAGCAGAAAATGATACCAATAATTACTACCAAGAGAATACTTAAATACTTGAATACTAAATGGCCTTCTACCGTACGTATTTGTTGTCAAATTTATTATTTCCTACATATGTTAGTGTCGCCCTTTATATAATAGACTAAGTTAAAATTGATCTTCCATTGTATATAGGTTGATTTTGAAGAAAAATATGTATGTCATGCTACTGAAAAACTTAGATACACCGAATAACTTATGTAATAGCACACAAATGGTATATAGAAGTTTTGACAATAACATCAGACATGCAAAAATTATGATACTGGTCAATGTGCTTCTAAGTATATTCTTATCCTCGAATTCAGCTTTCGTCTTTCGAAACTATGGAATATCCTTTTAAAGTCTGAAATAATTTTTAGTATGTTTATATTTTGCAAATATAATAAATAAAACACAAGGACAAACATCCTAAATATTGGACTATATTTACTGCAATATGTTGTCGCACGAACAACTGTATGTTGCACTTTCAAGAGGGATATCAAGATCGACTACAAGAGTTTTGGTTAAGGCAGAGCAACCAAAGCATTATGAGGAAACATACACAAAAAAATATTGTCCACAAAGAATTGTTCGTTAAGATATCATCACATTAAATACCTTTAAACTATAATACATAATTATCTAACTAACATGACAAAATTGATCATTTGTTTAAGTTTTGATGATGTTTTTTTATTTGAAATTCATGTATTAAGCTAATTTAATAATATTTTTCGATATTTAGATGATTATTGTATTATTATACATAAAATTTCTCTCAATAATTAAATTTTATTGTTTCTTCATATAAATAAATGTTTAAATCATTATGTGCCATTATTAACGTGCAACGCACGTTCATAGATACTAGTTAGTATATATATATTTACAAATTTATCTTAAAAAAGTAAAAATACACAGTTGTAATAAATAGTCATTGTTTTAAAAGAAGAAATAAAAAGAGTGTACAATTGCAAAAAATAACTTACTCTATGGATACATTTTTAAAGCAATAAAAAAAAGGGCAACCCGATGCATTAAGCTCCCGCTATGTGCGGGATCCGGGTAGAGGTGGGCATCGGTCTGTTCAGTTCGGTTATAAATATTATCGGTTTTGCCTATCGGTTATCGGTTTACAAATATCATAACCCGATAACCAAACCGATAAGATATTGGTTATCGGTTATCGATCATTATCGGTTCAGTTATCGGTTTACCCGATAAGACAAAACAACTAAAACAGTTTCGCAAGTATAAAACCATTTCAGTATAAAACTGTTTTATAAGATTTGCAATGTATAAAACAATTTCGGTAAAATCAGTGTTCTTAAGATCTTCTTTGTTCAAACGACTAGCAATAAATCTTTGTGCATTGATATCTACTTTTTTTTTTACTCTAGTACAGAATTATGTATATAGATTAAAAAGTGTATTAGTTATGAAATACAAATTTTATAACAACTGACACAAGATAACTTTGTAACAGCTCAACAATTAAAGCAGACTTACGCCGGCCTAAGTCTTGACGGGCGTGATGCGACTGACGCCGGCCTGAGTCTTGACGGACTGACTGGTGAGGGCGTGAGGCGGAGAAACTGAGAAAGATTAGGGAAATAAAAGAGTGAACTATGAATTATGAAACCCTAGTATGTATATACCTAAGGGTAAACTAGTAAATTAGTTAATCATTATTGGGTTATCGGTTTTACCCAATAACAGAATTGCCAAATCGAGCCCGAACCGATAACCCAATAAAACAAAATTAACCCGTTACCAAACCGTTAACCCAATAACCCAATAAAATATTAACGGTTTGGGTTATCAGTTTTACCCGATATATGTCCACCCCTAGGTCCGGGACAGGGCCGGACCACAAAGGTATATCGTAAACAGCTTTACCCTGTATTTCTGCAATAAGTATTTTGTAGAGCAATAAGTATGTTAGAAATAATAAGTTATTCCTAGCAATTGTTCACTCTTTTTATTTCTTCTNATATATATATATATTTAAAGCACCATAATTTAGAGTTATATAAAAAATTATAACTAAAATAATTAATTTTCAAACTATGTATTTTTATAACTTTCTAGATGCATTGACTATTTATTTTAATGGTATAAATCTTTATTTTCAGGTCAAATTCAAAAAAAATATTAATTAAAATTTTATTATTTTTAGCCAAATAAAAATATTTAGCCTAGATAATGTAGTTTTATTATAAATTGTATTCGGAAAAAAATTATCTAAAAAAGTAACATATTTAAAAAGGTAAAATATATTTTATTTTTCAAAAAAATACCACATATACAAAAAATTCATGTGGCAGGCGAGTGCACCCACACAATTTGTCATATCAACATCCAAGGGGGTAATGGCTCTCAAAAGGCCTAGTTCAAGGAGGTGATTAAGACCACGAATAATTTAAAGCGATAACTAATAATCCATGACAAATTTAGGGGGGTAATAAGGTATTTTGCCCACATAAAATCATCAAACAATTCCAATGTGCAATATCTTGGGATTTAATTAAAGTCTCTTCTTTAAGAAAGCTGAAACAAAAGAAACAGCTAATTCTCCTTGTATCCTATCAAACTGGCTTCTCTGATTTTCTTTCGCGTTGGATGAAGGGAATAGAAATTTGATTGCCGGTTGGTCCATAAAATAAGGGTTCGAACATCACTACAAATTACCAGCGGATTAGAACATCCATCAGGAGCTAGAATAAGAACGTCAAACTTGTGTACAAATGGATTTACTTTTGAATTTTTTTGTCCAATATATTTATTTCTAATTTAATAACTATAAAACTATATGGTTTTGAGTCTTTTGACGGTACATGACTCTGTTTGAATTAATATGAACTGAACTACATCCTGCAATTAAATTAGTGTGCCTATTCCTAACCTTTATCTTTGTTGCCCATGCGTTCAGGCAATTCAACTACTGCCTGGCCATGGCACTTACCAGAAACAACAATTGATATACATGGCCTTACCTCTCCCATTTCATTGGGGGGGGGGGGGGAGGCATCTCCAGTAAATTATACTCTATGTACATTAAGTCCCAGACCCTGGTGAAACTTTCTGATAACAATTATATTGACCAAGTAATGAAACGTCATCTTGAGACAATGCTAATCTACCAGAACTCAGGTAGTGTTGAGCAGCTCGTGCCCTGCAATTCTCAATTTGGATAGAAAATAAACATGTCATTAGCAATGCTGCCAATCTTTTTTTGAGCTATTTTGAGAAATGCACAAACTGCATTTTGGTGGGACATGAAACATACCTTCTCTGTTTTCTCCTGCCGATGCTTTCCGATAACCGGGTGGTTCCAAATCTAGAAATTTGGCTCAATGAAGACAGATATTCATGAAATGAATCACCTTTCAGAGCAATGTGTGAGCGCAAGGGAACAACAGCTTGAAGTAAGTTGTAAGCATTCGGATCCACTTTGCTGAGACACAGGAACAATACAAGGCAACTTAGAAATATTGCAGTAATTATCAAGAGCTAAATTAAAAATGAAGTCCTAATACAAAGTCACAACAGTTACATGTATTGACCAATCTTGGAGATTTTAGGCAAATCATAGAAATGAACAAATTCAAAGAATGGACAGGGAACAGTTAGTAGTGGTACAAAACCAACATTTAAAAACAATATAAAAACTATGTTACCTTCTCGAAAAAACAATGTATAAAAACTACTGACGTGGAAATCTTTTCCGGTTCAAACAGGGGCGAATGAAGTGTTGAACTGACAGGTTCAATTGAACCATAACTTTTGACGCGGGGTAAAAATTTATATGTAAAAATTCATTAAATTTGCAAACATAGTAGATATAAATCCATAACTTTAAAAATATAATGGGTTCAATGCTAAAAATCTTGAAAGTTGAACCCATAAGATTTAAATTCTGGATCCGCCTCCGTACAAACATGCAATGGCCTATCGGCTATCAGAATATCCAATCTTTATATTTTATAAAAATATCCATACTTCGGTGAAAGAAAATATTTGCAGCTCAATAAGCTGCCATACAGAACCTCTGGAGTCAACAATTTCAGCCCATGATCTTTCACTCAACTCGCTTAAATTTCCCTCACAGAAACCCCCGTCCATTCTTTCTGAGGTTTATCTTCAGCCCATGATCTTTTACCAATTCTTGACCAGAGAAAGCAGAAGTTCTTGCAAGTATATAGTTCTCTAATTCTTAATTTCTTATCATCATTTTTGAGTGGTTTATACATGTTTTGTACTCTCTTTCTAAACAGTTTACAACTCTATGGTAATAGATTGAACATCTGCGAGTATAAATCCCGAGCTGAACATATAAGCAGTGACAAGCAATAGACACATCTAAAGTTAGAGAGCCAACTTGATTTAATATGCAATTTACTTGGAAGATACACAACTACTCATGAGGACAAGCTATTTATAAGCAAAAGTATAACAGAAGAGGGGCATATGGTCCTATACCTTCTGAAGGAATGACAGATTCTTGGTAGCCTTAAATGCAAACCCTCATGTTTTCCCCTACTCTGTCCAACCATCTTTCCCAGAGCCATTGTACTGTTTGTGGATGTCAACATCTCCCAGGCCAAATCCACCTCATATACAGATGCAGTGTCCGGTCCGAGAGAAGCAATTTCTTTAGCAAAAAGGCAAACTCCGTGTTGGGCAAAAATTGATGACATCTGCAACTGGTCTTCATGCCAGTTATATGAATGTGATTCTACGAAGGGGGTCATTGACGGCTCCAACGAATCCTGGATGAGTACTTACAAGCATCAAAAACTACACATGCAGTAACACAAAGGTAATATATGTATCTAAGAAATTACTTACGTATAGGAGGTGTTTGCAGTCAGCAAGTAATAAATCAGCCACTGAAATTAAATCACTCATTTCATGAGCAACATTGAGAATTTGAGAAGCTTCTTTCTGCTCTGGGGTAATATACTGTTTCAGATCCAGGTAACCTTCACGAAGTCTTTTCCAACTATCTTGTACAGAAGTATTCAGGTTAAACTGCACAGTAGTCTTAAAGGATGTAGAACTTTTACTGAAGTCCATGCGGCTACACTCATCCAACACCCGATATCCACTCGGAACATCCTCCGTGCATTGTCCATTAAAATGCTCCACGACCTCTCCAGTAATTGATTTCGTTACTCTATCAGAACTACAACCCTGCAATTCCTGATACTCAGAAGATAAAAGAACATTTTCATCAAGTTTCTCAACCTTGAGAGAGTACATACTTGGAAGGGACAGATTGCTACAATAATTTGCCTCAACTTTGACATCAACATCATTATATGACTCTGTACTTGAAATTAATTCTGAATCAATAGTAAGCTGAGTCTCAGGGATGAATGATGACTCTGGCACACAGGAAACATTCACTGACTTGCTTACAACATTCACAGTAGAATAATCAGCTGTCTCCAAATAATTTCTTTTCAACCTCTTTGATTTGAAATGAAGATTCTCTGTTGGTAAACTGCAGGAGATTTCAGTGGCTGAAAAATGGGAGGGTGAACTGCATGCTGTTTCAATCTCTTCATTTCCGATCTCAGGTTGATCTAACGATACGGGAACTCTGCTGCATTCTTCCTCTGAATCTGAAGACATAACTCTATCAAGTTTTCTCAGTGTATTTCTTCGAGTGAATGCGATCGGTGATTCAGAGGCATCAGAAATTTCTGAGTTAGTACCAAACATAGTACATTCGTTATGATCCTGAAATGAGTAGAGCAAGCTTAACATTGCATCCTTTTTTCCATCAACATTATTAGCACCCATATCATGATCCCTAGAATTGTTCTCTTCTGTAATATTGTTTAGCTCGACTTCTTCTGCTTTCTCATTTATACAGTATCTTTCTTCTTCTACCCTCATCGACTTAGTTATCTCTTCATCCACAAGTTCCGATAGTGGAGAAGCGAAATCCCAAGGGATAATTTTCGGTAGTAGCAGATGACCAGCTTCTAGATCAAACTGAAGAGGACTATATCTTAGCTGCAGGTTATCTGGCCGTAGCAAAAAAAAAACAGCACCAGATTAAATGGGTTAAGTGAAACTTTACTGTGAAGAAAACATAGAGTGTAGATACAATTTAGTCATAATTTCATCATCACATGAAGGATGAGAACTGTTCAGATGAGGATAGAGCTTGTTCCTACATACTGATTTCTTTTTACCATCACTTTTATGTGTACTGAACCATTAGATTTTGGCAATTGATCCCTTGAGAGGATTTAAACTAACTTTTCTCTTCTAGTTAACTAGTCTTCAACCATGGAGGTAAGTTTCTTTATGGGTTGAATCCTAATTCTTAGTTTGATAATTTTGCTTGTTCTTTGATCTTCAAGCAAAGATTTGGGTCCTATACTCAAGTTTGTGTTTAAGAAGAAAGGTCCTTCTTTTCCAAGATTTTATCTCTATCTTTCTATCTTGTTTTGCCCCCTCGTATCTACACCGTTGCCATTACTCATTTGTCATTGCATTCAAGATATCTAAGCAATGCATGAAGCTTGAAGCTTTGACTGGTCAAAATTCAATCTTAAGCAAGATCCTAAATAAATGACATGATACCTCTCAACCTGCTCTATATGCAAATAGAGGTTATCAATGATTTCGTCATTACCAGTAAGATGTATGCACTGGTTTTAGAGGATTCACTTTTACAAAATAACATGAAGCTTCAGAATTTTTGCTTGATGAACTTTTTCTGTTAGCATCCTCTTTAGCAATGGTACAAGAATTATTCACGCAATCAACTATCCTGAAGAATGCATTAACTCCTTGATATTTGGTGAATTACCTTTCTTCAAAGTTTGGCCTTGACACCAAAACTGGAGATACATAATAGTTTTACGAATATCTCCATGGCAATGATCCACAAACCCCTCTACCAGCATTGGGTGAATTTTAACTTGTTCTCTAGCACAAACCTAGAGGGAATATCTTTGATTAGCCAGATAAAGATAGATATCAGCACGAAACTAGCAAAAAGTAACTGTACCGTCTGTGCAAGCTCAAGGAGGTCCTTCAACGATGGCAGCGCAAAGCACACCTGTAGCCTATCTAAATTGTTTGGGAGCACCGGATTGTCACCTACTCACATCGAAGAATAATACTTAATTTGTGAAACATAAGCTTGACAAATTATGGTATTTCAACCATTTAGCCCCCTTACTATTGCTAGTTAATATCATGGGCCGCTTTGCGGTCTCCGCAAGTTGTTGAATGGTAGAGACAAAACCACGGTCTTCACAAAGAGCAGTATCCACGTCCTCAAAAAGGATTAGAGCCTTAGTTTCACCCTGATGATTAGCAGTTATCTCCTCCCTGCAGACTTGTTGTCTTTGCACTCCACAGGCATTTGGAGCATTTTCCTCATCAGACAAAGGTATCACTTCAATAACTCCACAGCCAGACACTAATTTGTCCTCTAAATACGCTGGATCTTTTTGAATCCTGAAACAAGAATCGAACAGACAAGATGGAAGTAGTGTATGTCAAGTCATTATAGATTCAAGATTCATTGTAGTGCTAAATTGGCTTAAATGAAGCGAAATCCCATCACGGAAAAAAGAAACAAATAGATTGGCTACTTTGCAAGATTTTCACCCATTTTTCTGTGAGCAGCAAATTTCTATATAAAAATAGGTAATGAAGATAAACATTCATTGGGTAATTCAACTAACTTTTCTAGGAACAAGAATGACACAACAAGAAAATGGTCAACAAACATGCTGAGAGGCTACTAAAAGCCCTAAATTCTTCCCTCCCAAATCTGTGACTAATGAAATGTTTTTCCTAAAGGAAGACCAATCTAAGAATTGTGTGCCAGCATGCATTACCTGGTTGTTTAACAATTCTAGATGAATGTTAAATTATTCCTTTACTGATGCAAATTCAAGATGGCCAGAACTAAATGTGAAATGTAAAACAATAAAAGTATCCAAAAGAAAAAAAATATGAACCATCACAAGAGAAATGTTTTGTCTTGAAATGCAAATACTTGAACAGTATACCAAACTACAAGTTACAGTACCCCCAAAAGGAAAAAGGATACCGTTAGTGTTCCAATTATTGACATTTTATATTTTAATAAAATTTTATTATGAATAAGTCCAAGAAAACAAAAGGAACAATCATATATCTTAATAAAATTTTATCGCAAGCAAATCCAAAAACAAAAGAAAACTAGCATCCACACATAGACGAACCGTTGAAGCCAGTGGGATTCTACAGCCTCCCCAAATTTCTGTTTTACAAGAGCACCGTTTCGCCAATCTGATGAATTGACCTAGCAAGACAATAGACCAAAAGAGTTAGTTAAGTAGATTCTTGATAACTTTAAGAAGTTTTATTTTTCTTTTTTAAGAGTTTGGTTTGAACACGTCAAAGAATCTAATGTTTAAACTGCTCCGACATATATACTGCTTATACTACATGTCAGTGGAAGCTAGCTAGGAACAATGAACACACATCTACATAGTGCAAAATGCAATTTAAGGTTAATAATATAGCAAATTTTCACAGAATTACCTCAATAACTTGAAATCCCTGTTCTTTAGCACAGGCGTAAATTGCAGCCGACTTCCCACTCTGCATAATATTAGTTAGCACATAAAATCACCAATAAAAGCTACTTCAAAACATACTAAAGTAGGTCTGGTTAAGCCTAACATAACAATATTAATAGAACTATGGCAGAAGAAACTGGAACAGTGATTTGTGTGTAACTTCCAGATTAGCCGCGTACATTCTTATGGCTTTAAATTCATGGAAAATTCTGGTTTTCTTCAACAGCAGAAAAATCAGATTTTGGGAGGATGCATGGTTGGGTCACACACCTCTCAAAGATATATTTCACGATATTTACGGCATTTCCTCTCTTCATAATCCTCTCAAAGGTTTGTGTTCAAATTCTCATGTTTAGTTTTATTGCATTATAGACTTCAGTAACTTCCCCCCTACTGGCGAGTCCTCATACGCCTGCCCGCCTAAACTTTTTTTTTCTTCTTTCCAACAACCATTCTAGCAGCACCATTTTACTTTTCAATGACCATTTTGATGACACCATGCCTCTTTTCGGCAAACATTGGGAATCAATGTACCGCATTTGTGATCATTTAATGGCACCTATGACTGTCTGGTGGCCCCGCGTCTCTTTCGCAGTAACCGCTTGGATGGTATTGCATCTCTTTTTCAAAGATCACTCACTCTTTTTCGACTACTATTTGGTCCTTTTATTTAGTGACATTTCAAGCAAAACGTTTCTAAAACCATCTTTTTTTATTTTTTCATGGTATCAAAATCTGGGAATTGCATTCCTATGCTAACACTAAATTTCACGTCACTATTCTGAAAGATTCTTCTCTTCTTTTTTTATGGTAGAAAATCTTCTACTCTTTCTTCATGATACCAAGGTTTGAGAATTGAATCTCTTCTTTGATTATTGAATTTCCGGTAATTATTTCAAGAACAAATTTTCTTATTCTCTGCCTCATAGTTTCATGGTAGCACCATTACCCAATTGGTTCATGGCAGTGACAAGACAAAAAAAAGGTGTTCCTTTATATTCAACCTTTTTCTTGTAAGTAAAGTACTTCATAAATAAAAACCAGCATCAAGTGATTGCTGGTGTATAGAGACAGTTACAACCAAAACAAGTGTCCTTATTGACTGTTAAGAGAGTTAATAAAATCGAGCATGACCTCTACATCCCATGTATCATGTGCATCTGCCATATTGCTCCAAAAAGAAAGCATTGAAATGAAAATAAGTTTAAGAGCCCTTTATTCAACTTGATTTTGAAGTTTGATTTGCAAATCCAAGTATCTTCATTGATTTCAGTTTGAGAGGGCACTGAAATTCCAGAGAACTATAAAGTTGTGTCTCTAACTTCAGAACATGTTTAGATTCTTTAATTTGAGTAAATGGGATATTATAAAATATTCTATAAGATACCACAACTTATTTTGTATTAGTTATCGAATGATAACCTATCTTATTAGGCATACAGAATAACTATGAACAAAACTGTAAGTAGCCCATAGGCCCTACGAGCCCATTTTGTAATCATCATTTCAATAAGTTCTTCATTTTTTTCTCAGAGCAATCATAGAAAGGAAAATAGATAGAAGGAAAAAAAAAAACGAACACAGTACCTTTGTTCTTTCAACCTCCACCACCCAAAAGGTTGGGGGATTTTCAAATTTGTGATCATGAGCTGATTATGCATAATATATGAAGCACATTTATTCAAGGCTAAGCTTTATTCTAGCATAAATGAACACAATTGTAGCAAGAATTGAGATTTAACAGAACATAAGTTCTTTGCTCTTGCGTACATACCACAAAGTGCAACTCTGGAAATATTTTCACTAAATGGAACAGAAATGCAATAAGAATTTCAGTTCACCATGTTTATCAAATGAACAGATTCATAACTTTTTGACATATATAATGCTTAACACATGTATTGTCGTGAATATGAACTCGTAAATGCAAAAATCAGATACAAAAGACGGCATAAATTTTAAATAGTATTATTATTGCTTTCTAGAAATGACAAAGCAGTTATCTACATAAATCAGACTTTCTTTGAACTTCTACTGAAATGCCAAATGAACAGGGAAAGGAATCGACATTTCTTTTTTCTTTGGAAAGGAAAGTAGACATTTCTTTTTCTTTGGGAAGGGAATTTAGACATCTCTTTCTTTTTTGGTGAGGGAAAGTGGACATTGCTAAAAGTCAATCAAGGTGAAAGCTGAACTATTGCTCCGCTAACCAAAAAAAAACTAAATGACTAATGGTTGGCCTGAAAATTGATAATTCTAATCCTTTTGATGAAGATGATATTTCAAATCTTAGCAATTAGTTCATTTATTAGAAAAGAAAAAGAAAGAAGGAAGCTAACAATCCCTTAAAGTAAACCCAAGCTAGTGAAATGTATTTCTACTTGCTTATGAAAGAGCCCATGGATTTGTTTCACAATATACGTCACAACCATGGGTTGTTGTTTCATAAGCACGTAGTTCTCAGTAAGATAGGATACATAGGATTAAGATATTAATCAACTAATTCTCACTTAATAACTAGAAATGGGATCATACAGATGGAGAGAGAGATTGGGAACTCTAGGAACATGCAAAGACTTTTTGCAATAGGAGAGTAGAAACTAGCTACATACCCCAACTGGTCCAGATACCAAGAGGACATTCTTCAGCTGTTCTTCGTTTGTGGAGTCGGCTTCACTGTCATACAGGCTGTCAGAGGAGTCTTGAGCAACTCTATCACTAAGAATGCATGGTTTGCTTGTGCGAGAAGCTTTTTCATGCCAAAGATGCAACCAATCATTTAAAAGTTTCACTGGCTCGCTATTACCACATACCTGCATACAAGGTATTGGAGAACATTTATCATACTGCATATGGAAAAACATATGAGGGAACAAACATCTTTTAAGACTTGTCTTCACCAACATAGACAGATAAATATTAACAGTTGTGGTATAAAAAATGAGATATTCACCTGAAAAGCTCTCTCAGGCTGATATTTGTTTGTCCATAGACAACTTTTGGGCCCAGTGGGACAGTTCTGGTAGTCAGATACTATCCTAAACATGAAAAAATAGTCAAAAATTAAATCAGCATTACATGAAAAAAGGCAGCAGCCATAATACATGAGTTGAGCTTAATGGAGAAGTGAGGATTCATATAGCCGACCCCAACTAATTCAGGTGAGGCGTAGTTGTTGTAAGGAGCAACATATATTTCAAGTCAACAAGAAGCAAAAGTTCCTTTTATCCTATATTCTGGGAATGAACTATGATGCGCACCCATTTATAATTTCAGAATGTGATGGGAACAACCTGGACTGCACAACATGTACCAGCTTGCAATATAAGAAAGGTTGTTTTATTAATTCTGATTGTTTTGGACCTTTTGGTAAGGTCTAAAAGGACTGGTTGCACAGAGTAGCATAATTTTAACAAGCTTCAGAACTGTTTGCTCCATCAAGATCATAAATATCCTCACCTTTCTTGAAGAAATCTACCTTGCTTCTTGGTATCTGAACTGCTAAGGTTATTTTGGAAGGTGTCAACTGTGTCCACTACATTTGCCTACAATTATCATAACCACAAGCATTATCGGATGATCAGACAAAACAGATACGAAACGTAAAGACTCTCAATATCTGTATCTCTGAAAGCAGGATTGTACATGACGCAATAAGTCAACTAAAATACCCAACAACAACAACAACCAAAAAAAACAGTGTAATACCACAAGTGGGATCTGGGGAGGGTAGTATGTACACAGACCTTACTCCTACCTTCAAGAAGGCAGAGAGGTTTTTTCGGGTAGACCCTCGACTTAGAGGAAAGGTAAAAGGAATGGCAAAAACAAGCACACCAATCAGAAAACCGAAGCGAAAATACAAAACTAACACTAGGTATTGCAATCAGAAAACCGAAACGAAAGCAACAAGAAGTAATAACATAAGTCAAGTAATACGCAAATACACTAAGTCATGTACTAAAGCTACTGTTACAAATAAGGACAATGCTTGGCTATCAACCAAAATACCCACTTAAAAAATAATTATTAACTCAAAATTATACTATTCACTGAAAAAGGTATATTGTCCACACTTTGGGGCATAATCAATATGAGCAGCAAACAGTATAAATTCAAACAAGGCTATGTCAGAACTTACCACTTCTGCATTCTTTAGCTGCTCACAGTGGCTGACTTGTTCCTCCGCAACTACGGATAATGCTGAATGATATAATTTTGTTTCTCTAGAAGAATGATCAGAAACCACTTCATCTTGTGAAATAGCATGCTGATTCAGTTCAATCTTGTTTTGCTGTGACAATGTTTTCTTCGGATAAGAGATGCAAGAAAAGTTATCAAATTGCAGAGAGGTGAAGGAACCTTCAGAGAATGAAGAGCTTCCACATACTAGCACAACATCAGTATCGAGAAAACAAGCTTCAGAAAAGATCCAGTGACCCCAATCAAAGGCAGTTTCATCCTCCTGCAAAGGCAATTTTTATATTTCATCCAAGCAAAAGAACTGGAAAAAGTTATTACAAGAGTAACATATGAGACAGCCCTGTAAATACAATGTATAGAATTGAGAATGGACACCATACCGTAACTATTTCAAATACATGAATAGGACTGAAAGTAAGGCTTTTCCCCTCCTCAGAAGAGTACCAGTTACTCTCCACATCAATAACTTCTTGGCTCTTCTTACCCATTTTGCAGGATTGAAAAAAAGGATGTATTTGTTTTCCCGCATATCTGCGGGAATTCTCCTGGTGAAAGCAAAGAAAGTTATAAATAACCAAAACAGAACTGTAGCTTCAGTTGTGTGATACTATGAAAATGAAAAGGACCTTATTCTGCAAAATCTAGAAGAAAGAAACATCAGAAAAAAATGTGCAGATATCACATAAAATCAAACAAAAACATTTATAAGAAGCATAACAGGATCCAGCATTAAGTGCTAAAATCAAGAATCTGAAGGATCAGAATCATCAGAACTCAACCACACAGAAGATCCTGCTTTTTTTGTCGCAGAAGAAATGAAAAGAATGAGAATGTTTTAACTTAAACAAGGTGATGCACATTTGATAAATAAATAAAAATAAATAGTTCAACTAACCTCAGCTGTCTTTCTAGCCTCCATTCGGAGATCAGGAATCGAGTGTAACATTGATTCATCCTGCATAAGGTTACGTGGAACCAAACATATTTCCGTCGATCCTTTGACAACCAGTTGGCATTTCTCTGGTGTTGAGTTAGCAAGCTTCTTCTTCGAACGAGGAGTCTTCTTATCTTCCAAACAGTGTTCAATCAGAAGCAATAAATTGCCAGCAATAGTTATAGCATGCAAATTTGGTTTGCAAATTCAAAATTCGTTGGAACAAAAGAATCTTAACATTTGAGGAAAAAGCCTCTGAACGGTGAGAATTGCAGCATCAAGAGTGCATGCAACTTTCTTAAGGACTTCCATTGCATAACCTATCTCGTACCCTTTTTTAAAAAATTTAGACACATCATATGCTTTCCCTCTGCAATATATGATGCCTTAGTTTTTTTTCCTTAATAAAAAAATATTATGCCCTAGTTGAGTGAAAAATAATTATAAACAACATGGATTTCTGGAAAAAGAAAAAAGCATACTTGCAGGAGGTGAGCAAGATTTTAGGAGTTTTTCAGGTGATCCATCATTTAGCTGCTCATGTCTCTGTCTCTTCTGATTCTTTCTCTCTGAAACCTTTAGAAAGAAATCCGTTTCTGGAGAAAACATCAAAAGAAGCATAAATAAGCATCAAAATCTGTCATTCTTTTTGGTTAATTAGAAAGACATTTATCATTCATTCACTTTCAGCATTCAATAATTCACATAGGAGAAATGTTTTCTTTCTTTCCCCGTAGATTATCCATAATCCTCTCTCACCTTCCGAGCCCCACTTTATTGTAAGTATGGACAATGCAAAGAACATCTTTTTAAGTAATTCACTTACTGATAGTAACTGGAGAATCTCCGTCAGGAATTTCCTTGCTTGAAGTTTCTCTACAGCTTAGAGCAACCTGAATATTAAAGCAAGCAAATAAAGTCAGAGATACAGTGTTATTCAGCCCTTTCTCTGCTATTTCTAAGCAAGATTTTACTCTTCTCTCTACATAATTGGATAATCAAAAAACCTGATATTAGAGAGGTAGATGCAGAGAAGGGAATGCCGACTGTAGGAGACCAGTGTAGGCACATAAAAATGGACAACATGGAGAAGGGGAGAAAATACAAATTGTTTGTGCAACCAAGGGTGTGGCCTAGTGATTGAAGAAGCTAGGGTGAATCAAAAAATATGCCTAGCTTGGTTGACAGAGTTTTGCAGGACCTGCATCGGTGGGAGGATGTAAGTACCCGGTGAAATAGTTTGAGTATGTACACGAGCTAGCCCTAACACTGCGGTGGTTATCAAAAAAGGATACAGAATTCTATGTTTTTTTAAATATAACAATGGTGGATTTGGAGGATTTTGGGGCAGACTATCACTTCTTAAGAAGTACCCTCAGAACCGGGTGGCATTGAACAAACCAAGTTGAAATTTCCAGTGGTTTTTCTATTCCCAATCCAAAACCAGGGCCACATTAAGCTAGAAAACTAATTACAAGAGATAGTTCGCCTTTCTTAATTATTTTTATCATTATTATTATTGACATCACGAAATCCTGAAGCTAATTCATTCACATTAGTCAAATTAAACACAATTCTTGTAAAATTAGCTCAAGCGCTCTAGATAATAAACTAACAACAAAATTAACCTTCTTAGAAGCTCGTGGGTGACTTTGCGGTGTTGTTGTCTTGGAATTTCTCTTCTTCTTCTTCTGATTTCCTTTAGTCTTATTGCCATTTTCTTGGCTCTCACACCACTCTTCCTCCTCATCCTCTTCTTCTTCTTCTTCAGCTCCTCCTTTAACTGGAATTTGCTTCGCACTGTTTGGAAACAGCGTCGCCTGGACTAATCTACGCCGGCTACGAAGTCCTTCATCTACTAGTTCCTCCTCCATTGGATCAGCTCTCGTTAGGGTTTTTGCAAAATTAGGAGTTCCAATTAGCTTGATCAATGAAGAGGGCTCCCCAAAATTTCCCTCTTTGCTTTTGCTTGTGCTTTTTCTTTTTTTCCTTTTGTCGCTGGGCTGTGGAGCCCTCTTTGTGATATGAAAACAATGGATACGGTAACCGGTATAAACGGTAGTAGGTTACCTATGGTTGCTATTTCCCGCGATTTTATTCGCATTCCGTTCAGATTTCCCGCGCTCAGTTGAATTGTATTAATTAATTTTGTTATGTATATTGATTAAAAACATTTTTGGTGTTATGAAAATAATTATACTATGAATGTTCATTTAATACTTAGCTATAGATAATCTTCCTCAAGAATATTATTCATTTAGTATTCCATTAAAGTTTATCTACAAGCAACTGATGTGGGCAGGTTGCAAGCAACTCAATGAAATGATTTGCAGCAGCTTCTTATTAAACAGTCAGGTTGCAAGCAGCTCATGCAAATAATTTACATACAGCTCAAGAAAAGCCTCGCAGTTGCTTCCTTTCTTCTACAAATAGAGGAGTTTTCAGTTCATTATGTACATCAATTTGAAGTTGAATAATATATCAATCTCTATCTATACTTGTCTTCGGTTTCTTTACTTTATAGTTTTTTATTTTATAATACGTTATCAGCACGAGACTCTGCCATTTTGAGCACTTACTTTGAATTTAATTTCTATTTCAGTGTTCATCTCCGATGTAAGGCGACGCTCTTACGTCCATGGTTATATCTTGTTCATTCCGAGCATCATAAAGCAGATTATATCCTTGAGGTGGTAAGCTTTTCTTCTTGGTGGTAGTGATATGGATATCACTTACATATGGAGTGGCCAAATATGTGTAAATGTTCATCTCCGATGTAAGGCGACGCCCTTACGTCCATGGTTAGATCTTGTTCATTCCAAGCATCATAAGGGAGATTATATCCTTGAGGTAGTAAGCTTTCTTCTTGGCGGTAGTGATATGGATATCACTTACGTCTGGAGTGGCCAAATATGTGTAAAGTAATTTTAGCCTTTTTCTTATATTTGATTAAATATCTTTGTCATCGCTCACTTGGTTACATGCTACGTATACAGTACCTGTGTTGGTATTTGTTTTCATCCTAATTATCTTAATAAAGGATTACAAAGTGGATAACATTGTTAGATCAACTTAAACTCCAACAGAGTTTGCAAGAAATATACAACCACCATAAGTGGTTATGTTTCGTATATCTCATTGTAACTAAATTTTGTTAACCACCAGAAGTGGTATATGCCTATGACCACCAGAAGGTGATAATTTAGGCTTTCTATGGTTACAATTGAAGATAAGCTACGTAAATATTCTCTATATTACATGCCCGCCTCGATTTGTTCCTGAAGTAGTAACTATTTTAAAAGAGGTTGAAGCATTACAATTTGATATGATTAATGCACGTTCAAATAATTATGTTTGATTTCCCGAAGGATGAGAAATTTGTATAAATATTAATCATTCCCTGGAGTGAATGTGACAATATTAACAAAGCCGTAAATATGAGTGCGCTATTGATGTAAATATATTGCGATTCACCTCCAGAAGAGGTAATATGAGTGAGAGAATATATACTCAATTTTTCGTATTTTAAATTTGCTCCTGAAGGAGTAACACAATTAAAATTTCCTCCCGAATTAGAAAAATATTATGAAGAGGTGTTTTTTTTGCTTAAATAATTATTTTATATTGTTGATTTGATTATGATTTTTTCTCATGATACCAGAAGTGTCTGGGCAATAATTGATAGTACAAAATATATCAAAAACTCCCGAATAACTAACTATTTGTCTAGAAGACACATGACACCAATATTGTTTGAACAATATTAGATTGTGGATAATAAATAAAGGCTCTCAAAGAGCTTGTATACAAATATGTCATTCATATTATATGATTGTGGTCAAAACATATGTTGTAGTAAACCCGAAGTTTACTACTCCCTCCATTCCAATTTATGTGAACCTGTTTGACCGGACACGAAGTTTAAGAAAAAATAAAGACTTTTGAAATTTGTGGTCTTAAACAAGTCAAAAAGGGGTCCAGAGTATTTGTGTGGTTATAAAAGCTTCTCATTAAGGGTAGAATTGGAAGTTTAAGCAAAATTATTTCCAAATTTAGAAATGTGTCATTCTTTTTGGAACAGACAAAAAAGAAAATAGATTCACATAAATTGGAACAGATAGAGTAATACATATTGCTATCATATTGAGACTACAAATGATTGGAAGATTGAAAATTTTCATGTTTCTACAATCATAGGGGGACAAAAAATATGTATACGAGAAGCTACCCGCCTTACTCTTCAATTTGTACTACATCATGTATCACAGTAAAGCAAAAGTTTACTAATGCAAAATTTTATGTCATAGTAAACCATAAGTTTGCTAAGAGATAGTACTTGCCTTGATAAACTTGAAGTTTTTATTTGCCATTTTAAATGAGCTATTTGAGAATTCAAATAAGCATATACTGAAGAACTAGAAGATTCTTCAAGGATTCTTCTGTGTTTCTTGTTCTCGTAATAAATTGATTATACCGACTAAAGTCGGGACTAACATCCCTGATTTTGAAATATATAAAAGGTTAATATAGGCCCATTCACCTATTATGTGAACCACTTATAGATGCATATATGAGATTGTTATATGTGTGATTATTGTTAACCTGCAGTTTGACATTTAAAATTGTTTTTCTCAATTAATAGCATAATTTTCATATTATGAAATCAAGACGGTTCATCTTGATAATGATGGTTTATATCCAAGTTGGTTTAACATTAAATACCTCATATTAATGGCTAAACCATTGCTTATGAGAACAAAACTTCATGTGTTGGTATAAGATTTTCTAACTTGCATATAGCAGCACTTGTATGCATCAGGCCAACAATATACGATAAGTCCTCCCCTCACAATTGGTTTAGGATCAGAAACTAAATATTTTTACTATCTTTTGATGTATGGTATATGATTAATTTCTCTACCACAATGTACAAAGATATGTTTTCCAAAAAAGATTGGGGATATATGTTAGTTTTTCTAACATTTGGGATGGAATAAACAGCTGAAAATATGCAATATTAATCGAATTATCATTAATATGATCTTCATTTAGAAGATAATTCAAGTCAAATGCCATAAACATTTGCTGATCCAAAATTAAATATCATATTTCAGCTACAAATATGATCGACTCCAACCCTACACCACTATGTAATGGCAAGGAGTGGTCGATGCAGCTTTTACCCGAAAGGTCGGGATCGATTTTCACGGGGAGTTAATATTGGTTGGGAGTTAGGTTTCTATCTAATATAGCAACGCGTGTTGCTTTTAATTGCACTTCTAACCATGTTTGGAGTTGTTTCTATTCTACTTTTAGTGCTAATGATTGCTGAAATAAGCTAAGTACAATATTTTTATAAGGGTTTTCTCAAGTGACAAAAAGCACCAGGGAAGTGACTTACACCTAGGTGAGTATCTAATGGGATCTAAAATTTAGGACAAGCTTGTTATATTTGGGGCCATGATATAACCTTTACACAAAATTACTCACTCTATACCTCTCGGTAGTTTGAGTGACTTTGCCCTAATTGGCTTTCTCAAGCCCAATTGGGTGTTCAAACAATGCAAGTAAAATTGTCTCAAGTGAGTATTACTATCTCTAGGTTTAACCCTTAATTGGGGCTATCAATCTCTTGGGTGCACCTCAATTCCTTGTTAGCCTAATTTTCCTAGTCTTAAATCTCTCTTTCTCAAGAAGATCCTAAGTCATAAAGGCATGAATCAGTGTTTGCAACCACCAATTCTACAATTAAAGCATGAATCAAGCTAAATATCACTAACCCATAAACAATTAAGCCCTAAAATAGAAGACCCATTAAATACCCACACCAGGGTTAGGTCATAACCCTAGCTAATGGGTTTAGCTACTCATAATAAAGGTAAAAATCAAAGATGGAGATGAAATATAAGTCATAAAAGTTAATTACAAGAAGAAAATCTAAGATTAATAGCTAAAGTTGCTCTAAAATTACTCTAAGTAGTAAAATACGGCTACTCACGAGCTCCTTAATACAAAAGATACCCTAAAAATGTGAAAAAGATCTATTTATACACAGCCAAAATTACTGGACAAAAATACCCCTACGGAGGTTCCGTTGTTAGCGAAATACAGAGCGCCTCAGCGCATGAATTTCTGCGGCCGTGCAAAAACAAGCGCGGACCGCGTTTCTCATTTGAGCTCTAGTTGCAAGGTCTCTGAATCTCTATATTCGCCCTCAGCGGAATTTGAATTGCGGTCGCGCCCAGTATTTCCGTTGTCGTGTAATTTGACGTCAGTGGTCTTTGTTGTACCCAAAAATGCCTTCTGTGATTCTCCATTCCACTGTTAGGGGAATTGTGGGCGCCTCAGCGGTGAACCTTTCGTGGCCGCACTACTCCTTCGCTGTCAGCGCTTTTATCTCAACTTTGAACTTGTGCAGGTTTTACTCTTTTATGAGCTGGTTATGACTTTCTTGCTTCATTTTGACCAAATCCTGCAAACAAGCACAATAAGTTAGTTTTCGGGAATACTTTTACACATTTTTTATCCAAAACTTAAGCAAAAGAGAGCATAAGATAGGCTAGAATCCATAGTTATCAACTCCCCCAAACTTAAGTTTTTGCTTGTCCTCAAGCAAACAAAGTAATTCCCACCTCCACAAGGTAAAAGAAAGAAGAATTTCAGCTGTTCTAAGGTGACTTCAACAAGCATCAATTAGGACTAACAATTACCCTCTACACAAATGTATTATCAACAACACACAATCTTTTTAGCACCATGGCTCTAGTGCGACACAAGAGCATCAAGAGTTGACTTAACTCATCAAGGAAGCTCGCTCTACTACGTAGATCGCTGTGGAACCCAAACTCTTTCTCCTCTACTCTCCATAAGCAAATATCACTTTAGATTATAGCATTCAGAACAAGGATTATGAAAAAATACACTCATCTCTCTCAAAGGAAGGTCACAAGTCCGACTCTAAGTACCATAAGTTTGCCCCTCATGTGAATCGCCACTATGTAATCTCACTCAACTCGAAATTATATAGGGCTTTTGCGGGAATGTAATGAAGGCTTTTGGTTCAAGGTAGGATATATCAGTCTATGAAGGTTTCATCTTTCCTTAAGCACTTCATTTTCTCATTTCGGCTCATACTTTCTTGACTCTAAGTCATTTTTCTCTTCCTTAGGGGACTAGAGAGACACATTGTCACTCTTTCTTGTTCATGACAAACATTTTTCTCCTTTCTAATCATTCCAAGCCTTTTTTCATTGCTTTTATTGAATCCCTTCATTTATCTATATTATTCACTTTCTTTTTGATTTTTTGGCTTTTCTTTCTTTTTCTTTTGTCTTCCCTTTTCTTCATTTTATAACTTTTATCACTTTTGCATTCCTCTTCTCTCACCCCAAATTTATGCTTTTGCCAATTGTGCTAAGGAAAGATCGGGTGCCAAGAGGGGTCATTTTAGAATGGATAAAGGCTTGTATCATGGTTATTGAAAGAATAAGGGCTTCGGCTCAACAAGGTTGACTATGGATATCATATTTGGTGGTCTATGGACGTTTTTAAGTTTAAATTTGGATAAAGGAGAGCCTATAATCATTTCTCAAGTCGAGCTTCACTTAGAATTTTGCCTAGACAAACATTCAGGGCAAGTTCTAGACTTATTGGCACAGGACTTGGACTAGAAAATCAATACCTCACCTCACAAGTTATTGGATTGCTAAAGATAACAGAGTCGAGGGCTCACAACAACCTTAGCTAAGATTGAGCAACACAAATGGCTCCTAAAAATCACTCGATGATTGTTTAGTCAACACAAGAGTCTAAAGGTCACAACTAGCACCATTCTTTGCAAATCAATTTGTTTCTAACCATAAGGTCAAAGGTAAATATGCTAGGCCCAAGTAAAGCTTTGCGTGAGACATTTTTATTGATTACTACTATTTACACAAAAACATAAAGAAAACAGACTCAGACCCTTAAGAAGGTTGTCATATCATTCATCATTGGGAAGAGCCACCCGGTTCACACAAATTCCACATTTGAAAAGAACTGTGACATTAAGAAACCCAAAGGCTTATTGATCACGAAAACTTGTAAGAGTAAGAAGCTACAGATTGAAAAAGAAACTACTAAATGAAATAAGAAGCTATTGAGATGAATATACATAAAAGGGGAATGAATATATACATGAAAACTTAACTTTATATACATACCAAAAGTATGAAAATAAAGTATGATAAGTAAAAAAAAATAAAGAAAAGAATTAGTATCAAGGTTATTACAAACCAATATCTGAATCATCATCAAAATCAAAATAAGGCCACCCCCCCCCCCCCCAAATAAAGAGTAACATTTTCCTCAATGCTATCAATCAAAAGTAGAATAGGGGAAGGGTAGAAAGTAAAGAAGAACTCCCTATGGTGCCTCTGTCTGCACGGGATCATTGACTGGGTCCTGTGGCTGGCCTGAGTCACCTCCCACAGGGTCCTCCAGCTCAATCTACAGATCCTCAGTTTGGGGATCACCGCTCTCCTCCTGGGCACTCTGTCGACCTCCTGCTCTGGTACATGTGCTGCCTGAGGTGCTGGAACTGGATCCTCCAAGAGTAGGAACAAGGGGATGTCTCCAGCTGATCGAATCTGCTCAACCTCCTTGTGCAACAACTTTATCAACTCTTATGAGGCCCGAGTCTTCTTCATTTTCTTTGTTTGTTTGGCCAGGTCCATGTTTGCTTTTCCCTATGCTTCCAAAGTGGCCATGATCAGCTTATGGTTGTCCAAAAGCTTTTTCTGGTTGTCCAAAAGCTCCTTTAGTGATTCCTTCGGTGAAGCAGGTACCTGAGGTTGTGTCGGAACTAACTGAGGTGCCATTGTGCTGGATATGTCAGGCAACTTTGATGTAGCTGCCTACATCCAGTTGTTGATGCTGGACAGAGTCTGATTCACCCTCAGTATAGTCAGAGGGTATGCTGATGAAGAAGACACTGAAGTCGGAATATAAGAATATGTTCCGGATAATGGAGGTGGCATAGCAGTAGAAGAACCTCCAATTATAAAAGGCTCAGAACTATTGACCAACACCCCTGGCTTTTCAGACTGCTAGTGGAAGTGGTGTCGCGCCCCTTTTTTTCCTCCCCTTTTTACGGGGAAGAAAGGTCCAGATTTCGACATTCATGGGGGTAATAACTCATTTCCTTTTGGGAATTGGGTATTTTGAAGAGTCGCCACCTAACGGATTATGGTGCGTTATGTCACCTAGAGCGATTAACTCTTAGATTGGTTTGCATTAACAGAGATTTAGGGTAATGACTCGAAATAACCTTGAGGGAAAGGTATTAGGCACCCGTCTCGGTCCACAACGGTGGATCCCGTTGGAACTTATACTTATGAATTAGTCATTTAACAAATAAGCAGTTGACACAAATAATTACAAATAAAGCATGTTGGACATTGTATGACTCAGATAGTAAGACAAAGGATTTGAACAAGTTGTGTACATATAGAGAAGTGAAGTTTTAAACAAAAGGAATTTGGAAAGGAGGGGTTCTAGGTTGGTTAGCCTATAGGATCACCCCACGCAATGCCCAGTAAACACTCCTCAATGAGGGGCTACACATGACATTAACTCGTAGTCATCATATTCATATCTACTCATTCTCACCCCTTAGTGGTCATTAAAGCGAATGTTTATTTAAGTGATCTTTAGGCGTGTTGTTACCCGTCCCTTCCTAATGGTCCTGGATGAATTTAGGACCTCTACCTACAGGCAGTTCTGGACAGACCCTTAGGCTTAAAGGAGAAAATACTAGGGCGACAAGCAAGAACACATATGACCTTAGCAAATAAAAGCAGGAAAGAGCAAATAAGAGGCTCAGTTTTACCCCCACAGATAAGGCATGTAAACAACACGACTTAAACACAAATAAGGGCAATATTGTTAAACAGTATCCTAAGACATGATGTCTAGGCGAATATCAGAACACATGAGATATGCAGCTTTATTTTGTAACTCAGAAGCAGGGGCACTAATCAGTTTGCCTACTGATTTTAAGCTTGTCAATCAATAAGCAGTACACACAAAGAGGTAGTTTCCAATTTTATAAGAGTTGATTATCTAAGGCTTGCCTAGGTGTGGGATAGTGCACAGTTGTTACCAGAACCATTAGAAGTTCAGAAGTCATTTTTGCCTAAGAGCCTACTGTTCTAGGTGTTACAAAAATACAAGGATTATTACCAGTTTGTTTAAAGCAGGATGAGACGGTTAATACTCATTTTCATGCATCAGTAGTTTAACTAGGCGTAGCTGAGTGAGTATGAACGAGAACCTAAACATGGTATCTAATATACACACATAAGGTATAGAATGATTTATATGCAAGATTCCTAAAACAGGATTTCTAAGTGCACATCATGATTACAGAATTTCCTAAAAGTAGGATTTCTAAATACATAAAGGTTACAACATTGTAAAACATGTAAATGTGCAAGAGTAAGAGTTTTTGTTTTAATGCGCAAGAGTATGGTTTCTACCTATTTGATGTCTATAGCATGCATAGCTACCCTCCTATTTTTACTATCCATCCCCAGTATCTGTTTACAACAAATTATTACAGACCAATATTGCATGAATTACATAGGTAGATAAGAAAAATAAGAAGTTACTCTATAGGGAGCCTAAAAGTAGGCCCAGATTTCCAGAGTTACCAATGCCAGATTGCCTTACAACCTTTCCCATTATCCGGGTGTATCAGAGTTCCCTAAGGACCTCAAGGGATCCCGGGCAGTGCTCACACCCAAATTTGATAATCATGGTTGAGTAAGTGCAGTGTGGAAGGGCCAACTCTAATGTATTAAAATTCAGAGGGATCTCATAGGGATCCCCAAGCAGTCACATGTTAGAGGGGCAAAACTTAAAACCTAAGAGTAGATGTGTAAGTGCTTGAAAAGATTTAAGCATGAAAACAGTTTGAAAATGGACTTGTTTGAAATAGTTTTGTAAAAAAAACAATAGATGTTGTTTTGAAAAGCGAGTAGAGTAATAAGCAACAGTACAAACACAACACCCAAAGCAGGTTCATACATAACTAAGGAACATAGAACAAAGGCGGGTTTAGCAACCACAAACAGGGGTAATGGGATTTGGGGACACATAGTTACAGGAGCACTTAAGTACAAAATCAGTAATATTCTAAAGGGTTAAGGAACTTCAGAATTAATACAGAATCAAGTTACTTAAGGATAGCCAACTACTTTGCATAGAAATATTAGTAAGCAAGAGTCATATTGGGGTATATTAAAAGGGGGATAACATTTCATAAACATGCTGGGTCTAAAGGAGGGGACACATTCAGAAGCATGATGAATGAAGCGATAAAGTAAACATATTAGTTGCAAGTTGAACAACAAAACCATAAGTGAAAACAGACTAGAAAAGAGCAATTGAAGTAATAAAAGAAACATATTGTTTTGAAACTTTTAATTGAAATCAGGACATACCAGTAAAGAGGACAGTAAACACAAAAGTGAATGAGCAGGAGAGCATAATAGTCAGCCTTGGCTTGCAGCCGGCTAACTTAGAACAGTAGTAAGTAACCAAAGAAAGAGAGCATAAAAGTTTTGAGTGTGAGAGAGTTTGAACTAATGTGTTCGTGTTTGTTAATGAGAGAGTATATGTATATATAGTTTGAAACTAGGCAGAATAATAAGGTAAGAGTTAAAGTCATGCAGTAATTATGGAACTACGTATCAATTAGTATAAAACCAGTATAAGTACTCTCTTAATTAAGGGAGTTAACTTCAAACGGTAAAGACAAATAAGGAAGGAGATCACATAAGACAAGAATATAACACATAAGTAAATAATTTCAGCATAGTGCAAGTATAGAACATGCAATTAAGACTAAGTACATAATATTCCAATTAAGGAAATAACATAAGAATTAGATTTGACAGTATAGTCGACCATAAAATAAGGTAAGAGAATAACTTAGAGGTTGGAAATCAATAAGGATATCATAATAAGATATTAGTGAAAGGCATCAATTACATGAAATTAGGGGTTCAAATAGGAGTAGTAATGATTAAGGGGAATTAACACAAATTATTGTAAATACAAAAAATAATCACAGTATAGGCAAGAAGGAATAAAATCAAAAACCCTAATAGGCATAGTAGGGTTAAAATCATAGAAACATGGAACATATTCATGAATAACAGACATGCAAGCAAATTAAACGAACAAATAAGCAAGGACGGTTCTCAGAACCCAGGATTAAGACCAAAATAATTAGGGTTTTCAACATAATGAATCAGATAAAAGAAAAACTTAAATAAACCGTTTAAGCATAGTAAAAATTATAGAATAATACTAAAAATCAGAGGAAAAGTAATTTTGAAAAGGGTTTAAGAAACCCTAGTTTTGAAGACGAAGAGGCGCTTTAAAAAATCGGAGATGTTATTATGGAAAACAGCAAAAATAACTCAAAATATACTCAGATCTATGGTAGATCTGAAGAGTCAAGAGACGAGTTAGGGTTTCAGAGAGAGATGACCTAGAGATAAAGAGATTCTGGCTTAGAAGCCATGGATCTAGCCAAAAAATATAAAGATCTTACTCGGACGGCCAAGGGTGGCCTGAGAATGGCATGAAAGGCCATGGGTGTGAGTTGAACAGCCTCTGGTCCCCTTGAGGATCTCAAGGTAGCAAGGATCCGGCATGTGAGGGAGCCATGTAGGCTAGGGGTGGTGGTGGAACCACCATTGATACCGGCGAGCCAACGACCGGCGAGTAGGACCTTAGGTTTAGCAGAGAGAGTCTCGAGAGAGATGAGAGATGTAACGACGGAGAGTGATGAGAGAATGAGGGTTTGGGGGGGTAGACTATTAGGTTAATTATGGAAATGGGGGATCTAGACCGTTGATTAGAATTGATCAATAGTCTAGATTGGACCAGGGACTGGGTCGGATAATTTTGATGGATTGGGTCTGGGGTTTGAGCTATTTTAATTGAGGTTTGGGGCTGGTTCAATTAGGCTAGAATTGAAATGAAATTGGCTAGTTGTAAAATACCCAATTAAATTAAATTAAAAAATTTACAAAAATAGTTGATAATTGTACAAAATCAATTTCATGCATAGAAAATAGTTAGAAATGATTACTCAGTATTTTAAAATACGAATGATCAATCTTTGGTCAAAAATAATATAAAATCATATGATTGGGCTATAATTGCAAAGTTATTGCAGTTATAGCCAAAATGCCAATTTGGCTAATTATGGAATAATTTGGTCTTAATAGGACCATAAGTAATAAATTAAATCAAGAAATGCTTTTGAAATCATTTGTAATGCCATTTTGTAATTATTTATTGGAAATAAAATGTTGGGTAAACTAATAAAAATACAGGAAAATTATGGAAAAATACCAATTGCTATTAATGCATGATTTTGAAGGTATATATGCAGTTTTAAAATATTTTTGGGAAAATTTGGGTATCAACAGTTGCCCCTCTTTACCCGGGAAGGATGAAAGAGTTTTCGGGTAAAGAAATGATGACCAATTTTCATCGAACGAAATGGTTTGAGAGATTAGGCTGCACCCTGGTTTCTGAGCTGCCTACATATCCTTGATTTTACATGAATCAGGCTATATATAGTTCCGGAGTCATCGGCGAAGTATACCGGTGAAGTCATTACAATAACGGATGCAATGTCTAGGGCTGGATGAATGAACGGTTTTATGGAAGAGGTTAGGTTTGATATGGTCGGGAGAACTGGAGCGGGATCACTCCTGCTGGGATAGCCGTTACTCGTCGGGTTACCTGCAAATAGAAGCAATACAAGTGTATGTTGTGCATAAATTTAAACATGATGCAAGTTCCCTTTGGACTATGAATGTTGTCATCGGACGGTTAGGGATGACGTCCTCAGACCATGATGTCTTGGGCCATGAATTTCTTGATGAGAGATTCACAGGCTTTAATGTGGTTCAGATCAAAATAATCCTACGTCCACCAGAGAACAGTTACCTTTTTATTATTAACAAAGGAAGGAGAGAGTTGTCAATTACACTTAAGAGAATTTCTCTCTTAACTCTCTACTCACTACAATGTATTGTATTATTTTTGGGATGGTTTCTACAAATGAAGGAGTGCATCTATTTATAGAGGTAAAGACCTCCTCTTGATGTCATTGGTGACATCAAACTACCTCCTCTTGATGTCATGGGTGACATCAAAGGAGTAAGCTTCTTCCTAGCATTCACACCAACTCTTTCCACCAACTCTTCCAATTGGCATGCCATTGTTGACTAAACATAAACCAACACTTTCAATATCCACCTTGGTTTGCGTTTCGAGCGTGCGTGTGAACAACTCTGGCCAAAACTTCTAAGCTTACTGGGCAACCCCGTTGTAAGAAACAAGAAGAATCAAACCATTGTTGAACATACCACCTCCACCTAACAACTGTTCTCTTCAGAGTTGCATCAGTTGATGCACACCCCCGCCAAGTGCTTGCAGTGTGCAAACTTAGCGAGCGAGACTATCTTGGTTAACATGTCTGCAGCATTATCATCTGTGATAACCTTCACGACCTTAATAGTTCCCTCTTCAACAACATCTCGAATAAAATGAAATCTAACATCAATGTGTTTAGTGCGCTCATGAAATCTCTGATTTTTCATTAGATGAATAGCACTCTGACTATCACATCTAAAGGTTGATTCCAGCTTAACCAAACTCAATTCCGCTACTAAACCTTTCAACCAGATAGCTTCCTTCACCGCCTCCACTGTTGCCATGTATTCTGCTTCTGTCGTAGATAAAGTGACAATCGACTGCAGAGTCGACTTCCAACTAACGGCACTGCCAACAAGGGTAAAGATGTATCCAGTTGTGGACCTTCTTTTGTCAAGATCTCATGCATAGTCAGAATCTACATAACCGAGAATTGAAATACCTCTACCACTTTTTCGAAAGGTCAAACCAACACCAGAAGCTCATTTGAGATATCTCAATATCCACTTGATAGCTTCCCAATGCCTCTTTCCTGGGCTGTACATGTATCTACTTACCATACTTACAGATTGAGCAATATCTAGATGTGTGCATACCATAGCATACATAATGCTACCGACTGCACTACCATAAGGAATCTTTGACATATGTTCCACCTCATCCTCGGACTGAGGCATTTGTAACTCTAAAAGTTTAAAATAAGAAGCTAATGGTGTACTTACAGGCTTGCACGTATGCATATTGAATCTCTCGAGAACCCTTTCAATGTACCTCTTCTGAGAAAGATGTACAACACCGTCTTCTCTTGAAATCTCCATACCAAGGATTTTCTTTGCAGCTCCTAAATCCTTCATGTCAAATACCTTACTCAACAGCTTCTTCAAAGCATTTATCTCTGTAATGTTGTTAGCAGCAATAAGCATATCATTAATATACAACAGTAAATAAATCATTGAGTTACCAGAGATCTTCTTGTGATACACACAGCTATCAAATGCACTCCTTGAGAATTCATGTGTAGTCATGAATGCATCAAACCTTTTGTACCACTGTCTAGGGGATTGCTTCAAACCATACAAAGACTTCTTTAGTTGGCATACGTGATCTTCTTTTCCCTCAGCTAGGAAACCTTCAGGCTGATCCATATAGATTGTCTCTTCTAGATTACTGTGTAAGAAAGCAGTTTTGACATCAAGCTGTTAAAGCTCCAAGTCAAATTGGGAAACCAATGCTAGTAGCACGCGAATTGAGCTATGTTTCACGATTGGAGAGAAAATCTCATTGTAGTCAATTCCCTCCTTCTGACTGAAACCTTTTGCAAACAATCTCGCCTAGCATCTTCCATTTCAGGAATTCCCTCTTTCTTTTGGTAGACCCACTTGCATCCAACTGTCCTCTTCCCCTTTTGTCGTTTCACTAAGACCCATGTCTGATTCTTATGAAGAGACTCCATCTCTTCAGTCATGGCTAACCACCATCGTACAATATCCTTGCAAGAAGTTGCTTCAATATACGAGGAGGGATCCAGATCCTTAATCTCTTCTTGTGCAACTACGAACGCATATGCAATCAAGTTTGCTTGATCTATAAGGCGTTCCGGTTCTCGTGTCTGCCTCTTCTCCCTCCCCTTCGAAATTGTGTATGGTTCATTGACAACAAGTTCTTCAAGGTCTACATCTTCTGACTCATCTTTAACCTGAGTCTCTTGATCCTTTTCCTTGGAAAGCTCCACTTGCTTGTCGTTCTTGTTTCCTGAAAACTCCACGGAAATTTTATGGGGATCAAGTATAGAGGATTCATTGAAGGTGACATCTCTACTAACTATAAATTTTGAGTAAAGACAAACACCAAAGTTTGTACCCTTTTACTCCATACACATACCTTACGAATATGGCCTTCTTAGCCCTTGGTTCAAGTTTTCCTTCATTAACGTGATAATAAGCTGGACACCCAAAATACTCATAAGTATGAATAGTTAGAGGGTTCACCTGACCATACCTCATTCGGAGTCTTAAAGTCAATTACCGATGCTGGAGATCGATTGACAATATGAGCAGCAGTGTGAACTACTTCAGCCCAAAATTCTTTGGACATTTTGGCTTGTAGGAGCATACAACGAGCCTTTTCAAAAAGCGTTCTGTTCATTCTCTCGGTAACTCCATTCTGCTATAGGGTATGCCTGACAGTCCTATGTCTTGAGATCCCATGTACCTTGCAGAATTCATTAAACTCTTCATTGCAAAACTCCAAGCCATTGTCTGTGCGAAAATACTTGATTTTCTGCTCCATTTGATTTTCAACCAAAATCTTCCACTCTTTAAATGCTTCAAAAGCATCACTTTTTGCCTTAAAAAAATGCACCCAAACCTTTCGTGAGAAATCATCAATAAAAGTGAGAAAATACCTCTTTATGCCCTTCGATGGAAGTTTAGAGGGACCCTATAAATCTGAATGGATGTAGTCTAGCACTCCTCTTGTCTTGTGTTTGCCAGTGCTGAAGCTAACCTTCTTCTGCTTCCCTAGAACGCAGTGCTCACATAAGTCAAGTGTGTTGATCTTCTCACCTTCTAAAAGGTTACGATTGTTCAACATCTCCAGTCCACGTGCACTCATATGACCTAGTCTCATGTGCCATAGTCTTTCCTTGTCATTATTAAATAACTACACTGTAGATTTATTTGTAGAGCCAACAATGGTGCTTCCAGCCAATGTGCAAAGGCCGTTCTCCAGCTTTCCTTTCAGCATGACTAAAGAACCTTTAGTCACCTTTATAGTTCCTGTTTTGCTCATGTACCTGTAGCCTTGTTCATCCAGAGTACTTAGGGAGATCAAATTCTTCTTCAGATCAGGAACATGACGGACTTGTGTAATAGTCCTCACGACTCCATCATGCCATCGAACCCGAACTGAGCCAATGCCAACTATTACACAAGTTGCATTATTGCCCATTACTATAGTTCCTCCACTTTTCTCATAGCTGCTCAACTAGTCTTTTCGGAACGTCATATGTAGAGTACACGCAGAGTCTAACACCCATTTGTTTCCATAACTACTATTATTATTACACGATGTTGTTAGTACATAATCATTATCAAAATCATGTACCTGTTCAACTATAGATGCAGTCGCCTTTTCCTTGGACTTTGACATTGGGCAATCTCGTTCAAAGTACCCCTTCTTGCCACAACCCTAACACTCTGTATTCTTCTTGTTCATACAAGACTTTGATCTATGCTTTGATTTGCTCTTTCCTTGTTGGCTAGTCCGGCCTCTCACAAAGAGCCCACTTGCTTGGTCATCTCTATCTCATTCAATATGCCTCCGCACATCACTAGAGTTAAGTGACTGTCGCACTTGCTCAAGCTTGATAGGCTCCTTGCTATACATCATTGAATTCTCAATATCACGATATCCTGAAGTCAATGAAAATAGCAAAGCACATGCAAGCGTATCCTCCTCCTTTTTAATTCCTGCAATCTGTAAGTCCATGACAAGTTTATTGAACACATCTAAATGATCTTGTAATGAAGTACCTTACCCCATCTTAAATGTGTGAAGAAGCCGTTGTAACAACATCCTTGTAGTCACTGATCGGTCTTGTATAGCCCTTCTAGCTTTTCCCATAATTGTTTAGTCGTCTCTTTGGTACCCGTACTCACTTCACAAAGCACATTAGGTGCAAGGGATAGTTGGATTGCACTCAATGAATCCCCTTCAATCTTCTCCTTGTCGGGAGCTGATATATCCTTAGGATACTTTCCGTCAATAGTATGGATTGAACCTTTCCTCCGCAGTAACGCCATCATCTGGATCTTCCAGATATTGAAGTTTTTGCGTCCACTGATTCTATCAATTTCAAACTTCATGGAACTCATCTTTGCTTGTTCTTCCTCCTTAGATCGTTAAAGAATCTTGTTGCTCTAATACTAATTGTTAGCGAAAATGTAAAAGAAAGAACACAAGATTTAACGTGGTTTGGATCAAAATAATCCTACGTCCATCAGAGAACAGTTGCCTTTTTATTATTAACAAAGGAAGGGGAGAGTTCCCAATTATACTTAAGAGAATTTCTCTCTTAACTCTCTACTCACTACAATGTAGTGTATTATTTTTGGGATGGTTTCTACAAATGAAGGAGTGCATCTATTTATAGAGGTAAAGACCTCCTCTTGATGTTATTGGTAACATCAAACTACCTTCTTTTGATGTCATGGGTGACATCAAAGGAGGAAGCTTCCTCCTAGCATCCACACCAACTCTTTCAATTGGCATGCCATTGTTGACTAAACATAAACCAATACTTTCAAGCCTCATGGAAGATAGGGAGATAGGGATTAACCTCGTGCAAATATGGAGGCAAGGATTAGCCTCATACAGGTGTAGAGGCAGGGATTAGTCTTATGCAGGTATGTAGGCAAGGATTAGCCTCATGTAGGTGTGGAGGTAAGGATTAGCCTCATACAGGTATGAAGGCAAGGATTAGTCTCATGCAGGTGTAGAGGCAGGGATTAGACTCATGCAGGTATGGAAGCAAGGATTAGCCTCATGCAGGTATGGAGGCAAGGATTTGCCTCATGCAAATATGGAGGCAGGGATTAGCCTCATGCAAATATGGAGGCATGGATTGGACTCATGCAGGTGTGGAGGCAAGGATTAGCCTCATGCAAATATGGAGGCAGGGATTAGCCTCATGCAGATATGGAGGCAGAGATTAGCCTCATGCAGATATGGAGGCAAGGATTAGCCTCATGTAGATATGGAGGCAGGGATTAGCCTCATGCAAATGGGGAGGTAGGTATTAGCTTCATGCAAATGGGGAGGCAAGGATTAGCCTTATGCAAATGGCGAGACAGGGATTAATCTTATGCAGTTATGGAGGCAAACATTAGCCTCATGTAGAGAGCAAGTAGTAAATAAGAGTAGTATATGTCTTAGATGGATATATATTCGGTGTCTGATGGCCTGATTGATAGTAATCTTGCTACGTGGATGTTATCGTTACGTCAGATGTGCTTGCTTTCAAAGAAAAAATTGTAAGTTTTGTGGGGGGAAGGTTGGTTCGTGCTCCGTTTGCTGGCCTTGCTATGCTCCATTCTGAAAGCTCTTTTAAGTTCCCATAGGTAACACCTGACTGTTATGGAAATAAAGTTTTCGAAAATATACAACTATTGATAAAAATAGAGTTGCTTTAGAAACGTAATGATATATCAAGTAATTTTGATGAACTAGAAATTGTAACACGTCTCAAAGGCATTGCAACTCTCTTATGTCGGAATTTTAAGGGTTCTCCTCAAAATTCTGCCCTAGTTTAGTAGATGATCCTTCGGTTGTTTGTGGATAATGGATCTTGCTGAACCTTTTTCGGACCTTCTCAAAATTCTGCCCCAGTTTCTTAACTGATTACTGACCGTTTGACACATGCTGGCATTGGATGGACTTGCTCCAGAATTTTAAGGACCCTCCTCAAAATTCTGCCCCAGTTTCTGATCTTGGGGGAAATGAAAATTTTATTATGATCTGACCGAACCCATAAGGCTGCCTACGTATCCCCTCTTAAATGGGAATCACGTCAAGCGTAGTTCAATTATATTAGATGAGGAAATGTAAATAATCTAAGCATAGTATCTCTTGACTGCGTCTGAATTGATTGGTTTTGGCCAGATTTCTCCATCCATTTATGCAAGTATGAGTGCTCCCCTGTTAGCACCCTGTGAACCATGTACGGACCTTGCCAGTTGGGAGAGAATTTCCCTTTAGCTTCATCTTGATGTGGGAAAATCTTCTTCAGTACCAACTGATCTAGTGCAAACTACCTCGGTTTGACCCTTTTATTGAAAGCTCTGGACATTCTATTCTTATAAAGTTGGTCGTGACACACTGCATTCATCCTTTTTCCATCGATGAGGGCCAATTGTTCATAGCGACTCCTTATCCACTCGGCATCACTGAGTTCAGCTTCTTATATAATTCTTAAAGAAGGAATCTCTACCTTGACTAGGATGACAGCCTCGGTACCATAAACCAGCATGTAGGGAGTTGCCCCGATTGATGTGCTAACTATAGTGCGGTATCCCAATAAAACAAAAGGTAGCTTCTTATGCCATTGTTTGTGGTTCTCTACCATTTTCCTTAACATCTTCTTGATGTTTCTATTGGCGGCTTCTACGGCTCCATTCATCTGAGGTCTGTAGGCTGTGGAATTCTTGTGCTTGATTTTGAAAGTTTCGCATATAGCTTTCATAAGATCAATGTTGAGATTGGCGGCATTATCAGTGACAATGGATTCAGGAACACCGAATCGACAAACAATTTTATCCTTGACAAAATCTACGACGAATTTCTTGGTTACAACTTTGTAGGACACAACCTCTACCCATTTTGTGAAGTAATCAATGGCTACCAGAATAAACATGTGTCCGTTTGAAGCAGTGGGCTCAATTGGACCAATAACATCCATTCCCCAAGCGGCGAATGGCCAAGGTGAGCTTGTTGTATTGAGCTCGTTTGGCAGCATTTTTATCATATCGGCATGCACTTGGCATTGAAAGCATTTGCGGACATACTGGATACAATCTGTCTCCATGGTCATCCAAAAATAACCGACCCTAAGTATCTTCTTAGCCAAGACAAAACTATTTATGTGCGGGCCACAGGTCCCAACATATACGTTCTCAAACAGTTTAGAAGCTTCTTTTGCATCGACACATCTTAGCAAACCCAAATCAGGAGTTCGTCTATACAGATTTCCTCCACCGTGGAAGAAGTTATTGGACAATCTCCGGAGTGTGCGTTTCTGAGTGTGGTTTGCATGCTCCGGATATTCTCCCTTTGACAAATACTCCTTGATGTCATGGAGCCAAGGCTTTCCATCTGTTTCTTATTCAACACGAGCGCAATATGCCGGCTGATTATGGATCCTCACCAGAATGGGATCAATATAGTTCTTATCTGGATGTTGTATCATAGATGACAAGGTGGCCAATGCATCGGCAAAATCATTCTGAATTCTGGGCACATGTCGGAATTCTATTTTTGTGAACCTCTTTCTCAATTCCTTTACATGGTACAGATATGACAATATCTTGGAATTCTTGGTGGCCCACTCTCTTTGCACCCGGTGCATAAGCAAATCTGAATCACCAATTACCAGCAACTCCTGAATATTCATGTCGACTGCCATGTTGAGCCCTACTATGCAAGCTTTATACTCCGCGATGTTGTTGGTGCAGGGAAATCTGAGTTTAGCAGATACTGGATAACGTTGACCCGTTTCTGGTACCAAAACTGCTCCAATGCCCAATCCTCTAAAATTTGCAGCTCCATCAAAGAACATCCTCCAACCGTCGTATGCTTTGGTAATGTCTTCTCCTATAAATGATACTTCTTCATTAGGAAAATACGTCTTCAAAGGTTCGTATGCTCCTCCCATCGGATTTTCAGCGAGGTGATCTGCCAATGCTTGCCCTTTGACTGCCTTTTGGGTTACGTAGATGATGTCGAACTCACTCAACAGTATCTGCCATTTGGCCAACTTTCCAGTCGGCATAGGTCTCTGGAATATGTACTTCAGAGGGTCCATCCTGGATATGAGGTATGTAGTGTAGGCACAGAAGTAATGCCTCAATTTC